AAATTAACGTGAGAAACACAAGATTTATAAATGCAACATTATAGTATTTAAAGAAATAATGCTACTATTAAATAATTTATAATTTTAAAAGATACACAGATTAACTTATCTGAGCATTATTCAATTTGCGATTAGTTCCACTTGATTGCATTTGATTCCATCAGATTCACTTTCATCGCTGCAGAGTGAAACTTTGCTGACTGCCATCATATATATGCGTTCTGCGTAAGCCATCAATTTGGCTGAGAAACTCATATACGTTTTGGACGAAACCAACTAATACTACCAAGAGATATGTGTCATTTTATTTATCCTGTAGAGGATCTGAGCATGTACGTGTCTAGAATTTCACATCTATGATCGAAAAGCGCATCTACGCAGGAATGTGTGCAGGTAATTTTAAGTGATTATCGTGGTAGTAGCTTGGCCTCACATTCATGGTTGACTTTGAACTTCTCCGTCCACAAAAGGTTAAAATTCTCACGATCTGGTAACGGTGGAACTGACCTGTCTTCGATAATTTATATTACGTAAATGATTTAGATCTCCACTCAGGTAAATAATTTAATACCGCATATATCAAAATTTTTATAATAGAATGAATTGTATTGTCTTGCATCAAAGTTAGCTTTTTAGAAATGTACCACAATTTCATAATCCTATATACAAATACAATTATATGCAATACAATAGAATTAAACAACACATAACACATTATATGTATAAAAAATATTTTGTATATTTGGTTATAACACTTCAAAAATTCTAAAAGGAATATGATAAGAAAATATGATTTTTCAATTACAACAAAATTAAAAGTCGGTGAAGTTTCTCATACAATTTTTTATTTTTCCACTGCGTACAGATTTGAGTATGCAACGTGTTCCATTAAGCATTTGTAGCTGATGGTGCCGAGGTAGTAGCTTGTGCCTGTTCCTCGCGAATGCGGTCTTTTTTAAGTTGACCCATAAACGAAGCCTTATCAGCAGCGGTCTGGAAACGACCATGTCCAAATTTGGAGCTAGTATCGATGAATTTGAGATTGATCTTTTCCAACGCTGAACGTTTGGTGTGTACCAGTAAAGACTATAAAGAAATACATGTTTGTATTATAATTACATTAATTAGATATAAGATAATTATAATTCTGATTACATATCAGTCCTATCATTAAATATCACTTTAATTTCATAACAGTAACGGCTCTATGAATTTCATCACGAAAATACTAATAAAATTACTAAAAAAAGCCGGTCATAGCGTATTACCTTGCGCAATGTTATTACACGCTTTTTTGGTCCCATACAACAACCTTTGATCATAATGAAGTCATTATTCACTTCACCATAGTGAGGGAAACCTCCCATAGGAGTGATAGTTTTTTCAGTAAGATCGTATTCTGTAGATGCGTTGTTCTTCACGATCTGAAAAATATTGAAAATTTATTTAAGTTTTCCATGACAGACAATAGAAATTTATAATAAATTAATATATAATACATGTCACTTGCTTTGGAGATCTAAAGTATCATGATCGACGGCTTTTAGATACTATGACTACAAGTTATTCATGTACGCCTCTCATAAAGTTACCTTCGTAGAAAAAGAAAATAACATAGGGAAGAGGCACTATTCATCATAAAAAGTAGACACGTACCTTGCCATCCTTAGTGTGAATTCCTTGTCCAATTCTGTAGATTTTTTTGTTCATTTCTGTACGATGATGGTAACCCTTTTGACCAGCACGGGCAACAGTGAAAGAGACACGGCTTGGATGCCATGCTCCAATACAAGCAACTTTTCTTAGACCTTTGTGAGTCTTACGTGGCAACTTTTTTGTATGCCAACGCGATGTAACACCTGTAAAGATTGTACATACATACGTATATTACATGCTATGTTCATTAAGAACAAGCTTCAAAAGAATAGAAGCGTAACTTTTAGTATTAGAAGGATAACTTTTAATATTAGTAAGGACTTCAGTAGGAAGGCAGCATGAAATATCTTCAAAACAATCAGATAAATCTTATCATGCTTTGTCATCATTTAGTCCATGTTCTTTAAACTACATACATAATTTTTAACCCTTTGCGGACTACCGCCGCATATATGCGTTCTACATAAACCACCAACCTAGCCAAGGAACTCATATATGCGTTTGGCAAAGACAACTGATAGAGCCAAAAGATTCATATGTATCCCACTTAAACTTGTCGCTATGATATCTCATGTATGCGTATATGCAAAAGACTCATAAATATGTCAGTTTATTTATCCTGTGGAGAATCTGTGCATATACATGTCTAGAATTTGACATTTATGAACGAAAAGCACGTCTAAGCAGAAAGGTGCACTGGCAATTTTAAATGACTATCACGGCAGCAGCTCGGTCTTTACAGGTACGGTTGACTTCGAACCGTCCCGTCCACAAAGAGTTAAAAATCATATAGGGAAATGATCTATATTAGACATACCTTTGTATCCTTTTCCTTTCGTGACGCCAATCACATCTATCATTTCGTCTGGAGCAAAGACATTATTGACAGGGACCGGGTTTTCCAAATGTTCACGAGCCCATTGAACTTTGTCTACAATAGTTCCACCATTTAGCTGAATTTCCATTATATGAGCTTTCTTTTGACGTTGCCTCAACAATTTCATCTATAATTAACAATTTTAATAAATAATATATAAGATTTTATAATATATTATAAATAAACAATACATTTTATATAATAGAATTACCTGTGTGTGAGCAATAATTCGCACAACTTTGCAGTACTTAATAATCTTTGCAAAGTCACTTTCAATAGATTTACGGCCAAGATCATCTTGCCATTTCTTGGAAGCCTTTGTAAATGCCTTCTTTTTGCTCTTATACCTACACAAAAGTAACTATAATGGCTGTATTTTTGCTAACAAGTTACAAGTAACCGCATCTGTAACGTGCCAGCCTCATCATAATGAGCGGAAACTGTACACACTTTGGATCAACCTTACCAAAAGATTTTTTCATTTCGAGGTTAAATCCAAATAAATGCTCTCATCGAAATGAGCGGAGAGCTGATTTCAGATTGATTTTAATATGCTCCATAACACTACGTAACAGATGTTTAATATATGTTAACATAAATGCATTACCAGTTTTTATAAAATCTTCTACGACAATCTTCTGATAAATGTTCCGCCCATACTGTAGTCAGGGCACGTAATCCATGTGGAGTTTCAATATACCCAACTACACCAACTACAATCATAGGTGGTGCTTCTAAAATGGTAACTGCTTCCACAATTTCTTTCTTATTTACCTCTAAATAAAGAAAGCAAAATATAAAATTAGATGTGTATTCATACAGATACCATAAAAAGTTATAGTAATATAATAGAACTGTGCCAGGCATGGTTTGTCTCAATGATCATCACCCAATGGGTTCCAAAGAGGTTATGGAATATGCCGTGCCTCCCTGCTCTCTGCATTCGCAGGGCATAGAGTTGTTTTTCGACACTGCGGTCTAGACCATACTGCACAATATCAAGCAGCTCTTTTACCGCAACCAAAGTTGACCAACACATTTCTGCATTTATCAAACTAAGGCCATAGTGTCGGACATGCAGTACTGCTTTGCTAGCTGACTGCAGAGCAAAATTAGATTTGATTGGACACAGAGCAAGAAAAACCAAACATTTAATTGAAGAAACTAGCATTAACAGTCGAAAAAAAAACAGAAAACTAATTAAAATTGGATATCTGAGGCATGAATATTGAAAGAAATATACATAGAGCCAGATTTCCATTGCACAAAGGCATTATTCAGACTTCATAAAGACAAGCGATCTCTTCTCGCATGCTGCTACACCCTTTTTTTATGGTTTATGGCTATATATGCAATAATCATGTACATATTTATATAATTATGTACAACATATACAAAGTACATGTAATATTTCTATGAATATACTTGTTTGTATTTTTTTACGTAATCCTGTAGACTATTGAAATACGCGACAAAATTTTGTCTCTACTGAGCAACAAAATGGTGGAAATCGTGATCGCTTCTTAGTATAGCAAATTCCCAACCAATTAACAGGGGTAATAGATATTATGTATAGTTTTAATCTATTGTATTTAAAGAAACAAATAAATTATAGTAGAAAATATTACTCACTTGATCCAGGACGATCAGCTTCCCTGACTACGTGAGTCATACCAGCTTTGTAACCAACAAAAGCCGTTAAATGTACAGGTTTGCTCGGATCATCTTTGGGGAAAGCCTTAACTTTACCACGATGCCGTTGAGATCTTTTTTTGGGATAGAATCCCATAGATCCATGGCGGGGTGCGCTGAATTTTCTATGCGACTATAAAAGGCATATTTTCCATGTTAATTGAACGATACATATAAGTAAAAAAAAATACAATTAATTTATATATCAGACCGCCCTAGAGTTTATCCTCAAAATTTTTCAGTTTATTAACCATAAACATTTAAAAAATGTGATCATCATAAAACATAATTAAAGTGAAACACGTGGCCGGTGTATGAGAAACTTACTCTGATTATTTTATAAAACATTTTAACTAACTTTTATTGCGAAAAATGTAACAATGCCATTGTTAAGATATTTTATGATAAAATAATTGTTTCTCACATTAATGTAAAACATAATGCACAAATCTGATTATCTTTTACGAAGGATAATAACGTACGAACTTACCATCTTGACTGCAACGATGAAAATGGAAGAGCCACTTCCTAAAATTTTAGTTTTATACTTCTAGGACAAATAAGCTGTACCAACATTTTCAATAAAAAGGTAACTAGATGTGGAAGTGTTTAAAAACTAGGAATATCAAATAATTTATTTACCTGTATTATACTAGCAGATTTGAAGTATTCTTTTTATGATGTTTTGTGATATTTTTTTATCAAATTTCTTTATACATATAGTAAGATTTTTTATACAAAAAAAAGAAACACTTAATTATGATGTTATTACGCGGTTAAATTTAGGGTTTATTTGAAATACGTTTTATTTAAAAAATATGATAATATAACAATTGATTGAAGGAAATAGGCAAGATTAATATTGCATATTGTTTAAAAATATCAAATTACTAGAAGGTACTATATGTAATTAATGATCACTAGATAATACATATATAGCTATATAGTTTATTTTCTCTCGTTGCCAGTGTGTAGTTCTTTGTATGATCCTTGTATGAGTTGATCTTGCAATTTCGTATCTGCAGGTTTTCAACAAATTAAATAATTTTTAGTTTGTATATATTGTGTTAATCTAAAAAAAAATGGATCCGGAACAAAATACCTTCTATCGAATAATGAACAAAATATTTTATTTATGGGACGCACCGGTCGAATATTTCCGAGGTATTATCTAATCAGTTATTTGGTTATGTCATTATAGAAATCAACGACGGTGTATGTGTATATTTTACATATTATATTAACATTAAAACAAATCATATATATATATCATATCATATATCAAATCATATATATATATATGATTTGTTTTAACAGAAAAAATCGTTGTACCAAATCAGAAGAAATATCCATGGTATCATCAAAAATTTCGCAGAGTTCCAACAATCGATGAATGTTACGAATATGACATTGTTTGTATTACAGAAGCGCAATATCAATTTGATCGTGATAAGTACATCTCGTTAAATGCTAATATAATGTTATATGTTTTTACATTATCGACTAAATGCACTAATACTTGAATATTTGATCAAAATTAGGCTGGTTGATGATGAAATTCTTAGTATACTAAGACAACGATACGAAGATTGTGGATGGTACTATGGGGAAGACAAAGATAAATTTTGTACTGACTACTATAATGCTTATATAGATGCATCTGGTGCTTGGTTTACAAAATGTATATAACATTTTTTAAATTATCATTCTTACTTTATTCTAAGTTTTATTTTTAATTCTAATGTATCAATGAAATACAGATGGAGACCTAGGTGGACATCAATCTGTAGTTGAGGCACTCATGAAACAAAAACATCGCATGGTTTGGGAACGGCGTCATGGTCCAGTCGGTAGTGGCATAACTAATAAAAAATATGCGATATAAAATATTAATTCACGTTCATACTACACATCTCAGTTTGAAATTATAGCTGAGTTTGTATCATTACATGAATACATACTCTATAAAAGATGATAAAATAAATTAATGTATTATATTATGAACTATTGTACAATGAATAAAAATATAAATGATAGCACAACTAATACTTAAAATTTGTACCTCGCAAATTTAATTTTCAAATTTCATACACTGATTCATTTTTATCGCTTATAACAACAGTATTTATGAAAATTTGTGATCTATTGTATAACAAATTATCTTATTCAATACTTGTTTAGAAGATTCCATTGATTATTTATACTTGATAATTTTCTTTGTATTTGTTATTACAATAAAACTTTCTTATGCAATTATTACAGTATTTCACACGTTTTGACATTTTTTTGCATAAAGACCAATTTAATTCTCTATTAGTCAGAACGTTACTAAGAACCATTCTAAATAAAATTTACTATAAATAATGTTTTAAACAATCAATATTTACGAAAAATATAAGTGCATAATGTTAAATATTTTAGATTCACAAATAATAAAAGTTTCTTAAAATATAAAAAGAAATCTTGTAATGACTAATAGAAAATCAAAAATGACGAATTCGTACAATTTAAAAAATAAAGTAAAAATTATCACTCTTTTCACATAGATATAAAATACGATAGAACCCACATGCCTACATAATAAATATACAACATGTAACAAAGCTATCTCATTTGATCTGAATAAATTAATACAAATTAGATTTAGAAAACATGGTAAAAATATTAATACATATGACTGTTGTATAACAAATCATAAATTTTAGTACGATTAAGTCGATTCATGATTCTTTCATTTTTTAATAATACCTCAAGCAATGTAGCGAACCTGCAGTAGAATCTTTTCAGTGGCAACTCATTTAACAATTCATAATAATGTTTTTGATCCAGGCTCCCCTCTGTTCGCAAAATTGTATACATATTTTATTTTTAATATAAAATACTTCTTAATAATAAAATAAAATATGAGATCAACAAGATCATTCACATATAATTCAAAGAGAGCAATTTCTTACCATTCATTCATATCACATATTAAATCTATTAATCATATTTTTTGTAGATAATGATCAATATCTTTTTTTCTCTCTTTGTTCTCATTTGACGCTGAAAACAAAATCTCGTAGAATAATATTGTCATTACTAAAAGTAACATTAAAGTTTGAAACCTGATCGATACAAAGGTGTACTTCTTATTTGTCTCATTTTCGATAAAATATTTATTGCCTATCACTATTCAACAATCCCTTTAATGAATTTAAATGGAATTCGTAAAATTTCATTTCGTATATCATGTTTGTTTCATCCATTCTTGCAAGTTTGAGTTACTCAATATTGACTACTAACATTAAACTTAATAATTCCTTAATTAAAAACATTTCATTTATACAAAAAAGTAATATGACAGCTCCAAATACCATACATTGCACTTCAATTACCATTAGAATTCTCAAAACGCATTCATTCGTAATAGAATTACAAAGTATTATCGTATACGCAATAAAAAATGAACAGATATTAATAAAAGGAATTCTCTGACACGAATGAGAAAAGTAATTGTACGAATGGAAGATAAAGTTAACGTTAAATTATAAAAATGAATTGTATTGGATTTCATAATTGAGAATAAGATTATTGTTGAGCAACAATAATTTAACGGTTTATATGTTGATCTTTCTAGTACAATTCATTTTTTATGAGAATAATTTACAATAATTGATAGGGTTGAGCCAATAAAATCTCCATCATAGAAAACAGTTCATTTAATAAAGCTAAAAAAAGAATGCTTAGCAATTACATTATTAATGAACAAAAAATTCGATTTTAATTTTCGCTTTACATAAAATTTTACTAAGGTATAATTTTATTATAACAAATAGTAGCTTTCAATATAGGATTTTGGCCCAATCCTATACGATTTGTACAATTATTGCCCACTTTTTATTCATCCTTATGCACTATCATTTGCATTCATTTTCCTCTTTTTCTATTCTATATCACAGTATGAAAAATGCTACATGAATTTGACACGCAATACAATCAGTACAGATCACTCGGTATAAACGCCGCACACTTATTCATAATTTTTAAACCAAAAATTATAGGTACTTAGTATATAGATATTTATGTACGTGTATATTTTCATACCTTTTGAAAATAAATTCTGTTTTTTATTCCGTATGTATCAAATTGATATATTGTTACCATAATTAATTCTTATATAAATGAGGGGAGGGTACCTACCATCATTTAGAAAATGGCATATAGGTATTTGAACCCACTGTGTGACAGCCTACCGACATGCTAATACAGTTCCTTTCCTTATTAACATCATTAACACATCATATGGGTACAAAATGTGTTCAGATATCAGCTTCTTTGCTTCTGCAGTGTATGTAAATACGTTCTTAGTCCTCACACTGAATTCATGACTCAATAGGTCGATTGAATTGAGCAGCTAAACGACGTTTGCTTGTAAATACTGTAAAAAAAAACATATTATTCAATATATGATATGCTACAATTTAAATGAAATAATAATTAATTATTAAGAGAAGTACATTATTTACATTGTTGTGTAGGAGTACTGTGTTTCTCTTTAGTACCATTGCCTTCCATGTTACTGCTATCATTTTCATTATTTTTAAGATTTATGTCTTCCAGAGAACTATTAACAATTTTTTCTTGCTTATTTGTAAAACTCTCAGCAATTATAATATTTTCCGAAGACACGTTCTTTTTGGGAGTTAATGATAACGATGGAAGCGGTAATTCAGAAGGATGAGGGGCAACAACCAAATTACGTTTAGAAGAGAAGAAAGGTGAAGTACGTGGATTTAAAGGATTGGCTGCAGCAGTTAATAAATTCTTTGTTGGTGATAGTAAGTTACTATCACAGGATGTGATGTGATTCCAAGAAAGAGGTAAAGTAAATGGAGGAACCTATTAATATAAAGAAAGTATACTAATAAGTTGTACTACAAAAATAATTAAATGTACTCATATGCAGGTAATATTTACATGTACATTAGTAGCATGTTCGTCCCGTAGATATGCAAATTTCGTTGGTGTCGTCCAAACTGATGATTCCCATTGATCCTTATCTAGATCTTCCTGTAATTTAAAAGATAAAATTTACCATTATGCTATATTATATTATATTATTAAATAAAAGACACATAATAGAGTTTATAAAGAAAGTACCTCAGGTGGAGAATCTGGTTTTGGAGGTGCAGGTGGAAAACCATGTAGCATAATTGGTGTTTGTATTAGGTTTTTGAGAAAGCTTTCGCTTCCATTTTCTTGTAACGACCAATTAACCAATCTATCTTCTGAATTTGAAGTCATCCAAGATTTGTTAGAGTCTTTTAACCACAGATTGTCTGTATCTGTTTGTTTCCAGGAATCCTGACTTTCAGAAACTTGCTCTACCCACTTTGTTTGCTCTGGTATAGTTGAATTATTTGAAACATTGACACGAGAGGATGAATCGCTTTCAAACGACTCATTACTGGAATCTGTATCACAATACGATGATCCTGATGCATATGTTGGCGGTAATGCTATACCTACAGCTATTTATAGAAGTAAATTGAATTATACGATTTTTATAATAGATATTCCTAAACAGTTGTGAATAGCTACTTTTACCTACCAGTAATCTTTTTATTTAAATATATGATGTTTTTCTTGCGCCGTGATAATTTTATTGTTACCGTACAAGGTAATGCTTGCAAAAGTGCAAAAAGTGTTGGAAATCCATAGTCTACAGGGTTACAAACGGAACCTATAGTAGATAAATATGCCGCCTCGAACTGCGAAAGTTTTAGTGCTCCACCATAATTCATCATTACACGATATACATTACAAGCAAAACAATGTAATGGAGTAAGTTCTATGAACTGTTCGTCCTTTAGTGTTGTAAACTGAAATTATATATATATAGCTTTACAAGTTTTCTATAAAGATATGTTCATTTAATAGAATTAAAACTTACTCGAACTACATTGGATAAATTTTGCTTTAGTTCGTCTATGTTACACGATTTTAAATAATATTGAGCGTATAAGTGTTGGAACTCTTGAAGTGACATTCTATGTTGTGGTTTATCCATGAGTAATCGACGGCATTGTAAGATCAATTGCTGCACGTGAGACTTATCTACCATCATAACTACAGGTCTACTTGGCAAATATACAATCTGAAAAATTAATAAATTAAAATATTGAATATATATGAAAATAATTTCAATGTTCTTTTTTAATACCTTCACAGTGTCCCCAAGTTTCTGCATAAGTTGCAACACAGAGATGCAACCGAATAATTCTGGTTTTAACGCATAGCCAAATTGACGTAGAAAGTTTTGTGCAATGTTAGAAACACTAAGACAACCTTTTGACCGAGTAATTAATTTGGATATTTGCTCAGAAAGTACAAGAAGACCTTCCTTTTCTGTTAAAGAAATTTGTCTTTCTCCGGAATTATCGTCTTCTATTTTAACTATCTCCGGTATAGCTTCAAATAATTCAATTAATTTCGTAAAGCCATAATCTGATACTCGACACTGATGACCAAAGTGATGATGATACGATGGCACAAACTTATTAAATTGCATTCTGCACTGAGGCGCGTGTCGTAACAACTCGACAACCTAAAAGGGTATAAATATATTTATACATAAATACATAATTAGCTTCTTACATTTTTGATTTTGTTTATATCATACTTCGACAGCAAATTGTTTTGTTCGTTCTATCTCTTCTGCAGTTTGTTCTCGTTTGGGAATAGCTATCATCTTATCTCCTCCATTAATCACAGTGACAACCACAGTATTTTCTGATACTTCACTGAGAATGTCTTCGATTTCACATACTCCATAATCCACAATATCCCATGGTTTAGCTAGAAAAAATGTTTTTCTCTTATATATGCATTGTATTTTTCAATTATTTAATATCATAAAAGATCCTTACCTATTACTCTAGCATAAACACTTGGAAATTCTGAAAGTGCTACTTGTTTACTGGCTTTTGACTTTAAGACTCTTAAAAGATCAGACGTGAAACGACGTACTTGTGCACGATGAGATAATGTGACCACACGATTGTTTCCTTCACCCATTACCTAAATTAAATTAATATTTCATTAATGAAATAATTTATCTTAAATTAATTGAATTTTCTTACGTACTTGTACGGTATGAGTAAGTGCTTCTAACAAATCAATTAGTTTGGTGAATCCGTAATCGGCGACCCTACATTGTCTTCCAAAATGATGGTGATATGCGGGTATAAAGCGGTTAAATGGTAACTGGCAGTGTGGAGCAGTTTTCAGAAGATCAACTAATTCACGACTGAAAAGTGCTAATTGATTTGCAAGTGGAGAAGTCACACATTTATTCTCTAAGAAGAAAAAGAAAATTATATTAATGTTGATCAATCATTGATTAATTTAACAATCACTATTAAAGAACCTTACCTTCCTGATTATTTTCATGAATTTTATTTCCTGTCCATATAAGATACTTTACACTACCAATACCCTGTTTCAATTCAACACAGGATAAGCAAGATACCAGATGTTCTAAGGGTACTCCATTTTCAACTACTTGTAATTTTTCTTTAAATTCAGCTTCATAACAATTTGGCAAACTAAAATTAATTTTTCACGAAGAAAATTATTAAACAAAAAAGAAACAAAATTAAGTTTTATTTGAAAATTACGATATAGCAATATACCTGGGCAATGGTAAACTTCCGTTATGCGTCGTTAGTAATTGGTGTATACGTGGATCGAGAACCTTTAAAGAAATTTTTACATTAGGGAGTGATGCTACTTTTTGTTCAGCCCATCCTTTATCAGACCATGGTTTTAACGTATGAATAGTACAATATGGTAACTCTACTTGTTCCTCCTAAAACATTACACTTACTCGTTTATATTTCATATGTAATTTACATATTTACGTATTAAATATTTTTTACATTATTTCAGAATAATCTTTAATCGCTTTTAGATAATCGTCATCGCTCCTCAACGATAAGAGGAATTAATATAACTCTACTCTTATCGGAAAAGCTTAAACTCGGCTTGATATACATCATCGTGAACCTAGAATTTACTATATAATAGTATACAATATATAAGATCTAAGGTACCTGATTTGTATTATTAAAACATGGTGATGGAGTATTTCTATGATCTGGATTAAGAGAAACCATTCTACCACCAGGATCTTCCGTAATAATACAAACATCTTTCATTTTGTACAACTCGGAAACGCTGATGGAAATCATGAAACGACTCTCGTACATTTCTCGAAACTTAAAAAGAGGGAGTTTATGACCAGGTACTTCTTGCAGTAGCATCACAATTTGCGCTCGTACAACCTGAGGACTTGCTCTACCACTATGAGCGTACGATATTAAAATACGTTTATACCCTACTTTACGACGATGTAACTGAGAAATCGCGTATTGTGCGTCTGATAAAGAAGGTACTTTGACACTTGCCGCAAAGTTACCATCAGACTGTGTAAAAATAGAAACATTTAACACCTAAAATGTTAATTAAAAATAAGCGAAAGTTACTTAAAATTAAAATAATGCAATTGTAATATTAAATATTTACCATCACATGTTCCATAAAAATAGAGACAAGCATATGTCTCATTTTTTTTGGATTAATACTTTGGTCTAAATTAGTTACTTGCAGTTCAATTGGCGTGCACGTTTCATTATTCGTTGATATTCCATTATGATTATTTATTGGATTGAAAAAATTCTAATGTATTGAAAAACAAATTATCAATATAGAAAAGAATAAAGAAGCGCGAACACATAGAGAGTAGAAAAAGATAAAAGTACCTCAACTTCTTCGTTTTCCGTATCACTTGGATGATAAGGTGAGGTATGATTACTTTGTTGGCTTACCGTTTGTACTGTATTTTCGTAAGGCGACGGTGTCCTAGTACTACGTACAGACGCATTCTGTTAATTTTTAAAGGAAAGAAGTATTAAAGAAGTAAGAAAGAAGTAAATCCATTTCAATTTTGTTAATTTACATTTTAAATTAATTTATACCTGTCCATTCCACTGATTTCTCTCTCGTGATTGCAAGTCATACATAGGAGATGGACTTCGGCGTTTAAAATTTGATTGAGCTACAAGCATTAAAAATTTATTAATTACAATTTAAGATTTTTTAGAAAAAAAGAGGAAATGATCTACATACCAGTTCCATTCAAACTCGCAGGAACATTTAATGGAGGATATTGTTGCCTTGGACCAGTCCATTCTGGAGGTTGAACAAACGAAGTTTGCGTACCTCTAATACGTCTTAAACCCTCAGAATTTCGAGAAGTATTATTATTTACAACTCCATTTTCCCGAGCCTGCGGAATATGAATTCTTCTACTAAGTACTTTCGTTTTTTCCACCTTAAATTATTATAAATAATAAATCAAAATTATACACAACATAGTTCACAAACGAACTTTCAATGAAATTACATACCTTATATTGTTCTTCCCATACATGACCAAATTGTTGGGGACCAGAAACTTGCCAAAACAATGGAGATTGGGCCCTTGCAAGTTCGTTATAAGTTCTATTAAAAGTTACATTATTATTATTACTATTATTTGGATATGATCTGCCAACAAAAACGGATGATGGTTGAACCATCCTGTAAAAAATAAATATAACGATCTTAATGTTTGAAATATTTATAGCAATTGTCATTACTTTGTTCCATATTCTATCAGATAAGATCAAAGTTTTTCTAATTTCATTGCCTGAATCAAGCAAGAACAATGTCTATTCGCGACTCCAAAATCCGAATCAAGCAAAGGCAATGTCTCCTTGCGACTCGAAGACTCTTTCTCGGATGTTCATCATTCTTACGATTATTGATATATATGGATAAAGGACACTAAATGTAATTTACAATTACCCTACTGGTGCTGAAGCAGAAGCACAATGAGCATTCCATCCAGAATATGTTCCAATAACCGGCGACGATGGCTGATAATGTGGAATCTGAAGGGCTCTTCCACCCGTTAACGAAGCACTTGCACTGTACATTTGCCTTGGAGAACTGGTAACAATTTCTGATTCACTTACAGTACCGTTTCTATTTATAGAATTTGCTAAAAATGTAAGAATATTGTTAAAAAATAATACATACATACATATTACGTTATATAAATAACAACATTACCTCGAATTTGCTGAAAGTTACTTGTTTTCTCTTTTTGAAATTTTACGGAAATTTTCGAACCAAGAATAATCTTTCCATCCATACGCTTCTGAGCCCTATAAAAAAAAAAGTCACATTGTTATTAAGCAAAGTCGGTTAACTGTGATTACAAAGGGCCAGAACACAAGATAATCAATTCTGTCTATAAATGACCTTGAAGATTTTAATAAACACATGTATAATACAAATTATAATGTCCATTTATTTCTCAGAGAAATTCGATGCATTTTAATTAGTATATATAATTCACTAAATGCTTGTATTTTCCACAGTAATAATTTTTTACTAGCAGCTATATTATTTACCTTACCTTATATATAAATAAAATTATCAGTTTGTGTCAACATTGTAATATAGATAAATAAAACGATAAATAATAACAATATATCAGAAAATAACAATTTTTCAACACTTAATTACTACTATACACATATATGAACTAGGTATGTTATACAAATCAAAATTATAATCTTCTTACAGTGCCATTAGGTTCGTTACATTGTTGTACACTATTTGAACTCTACCTTATTTATGTATCTATCCCTACTACATACTTTAAATACAGCTCTTTTTTGTTAATGCTAAACAGACCAATAGAATGTTTGTACACAGGAGTAAATCATTGGTCACTTAATAGGCGGGTTATTCAAACATAAAGCTACGTCTGATATCATATATTACTTATAGTATAATTAAATTATGAATACACACTATACTACATTTTGAGACATACAATTATTATTTTGTATACAATTAAACAAAATTTACGAAATAGTAAGAAGACAACAAATATACATATATATAATACCTGTCTGCAGAAGGTTTTGAAGTAAAGCGTACAATTGCAGTATTTGACTGAATTTCCATCACTTGACCACCACAGCTTTCGAACATTTGTTTAAGATAACATTTAATAGACATAATATCCTGATCTTCGGGAAGGTTACTAACTAGGAGATCGCAATATGCAGTAACCTGGAAGGTATATAACTTAACAAAATACTACAAAACATACACACATATATGGAGATAATTAACATTTTCATATTTTACATTTATAAAGATAGTACATATTTTAACCAAATTTACATACTACAAACTCAAAAATATTTTAATATTAACAGACAAATTAATATACATATTTATATAGAATAAAAAAGCTATTATAATGAAATAACTTATTGTACAAAGCTTCAATTACAAATACTAGTTGTGTTTCATTTTTTATTAAGAAAAAATTAGAAAAATGTCATATGAAATTAATAATTAATTAATATTTACCTGTATTGTTGTAGATGGCAGTGATTCCATAAGTTCTGAAAAATCATAGTGCTCATTAGCACACAGTATCAGTGCTTCAGATGTATTTTTCATGTGTAAAAGTATCACATGAATTTTCTTCCTATAACGCAAATCACTGAGATCAGGAGCAAAATTAATATCACCAGATATTAAAATCACAGCTGCTGGACTTCCATGAATATCAGCAAATCTTCTAATAGATTGTTTGAGTTTTTCATCAGCAGCATTTTTACACTCTCTAGCAACATGTATTAAATTAACCTGAGAAACACAAGATTTATAAATGCAACATTATAGTATAAAAAAAATAATACTGCTATTAAATAATTTATAATTTTAAAAGATACACAGATTAACTTACCTGAGCATTATTCAATTCTTTCATAACCCGATTATTTTCTCTTAAGACATCACAAACTACAATAAATTCTGCTTCCCTATAACCACCAAAAAATTTTTCTCTAATTACTTGGGTTGCAGCCATGGCAGACCTTCCTTTTGGTACCTGTAATAATCATAAGAAATATTTTATATCTTCAAATATATTTAACTATAGTATTATGTAATATATTTCAGTAATATAAAATTATAAGATTTAATACTAACATGGCAATTTTCTATATCCCAAAATACACCAATGGGTGGAAGATACGTTGGTAGAGATGAAAAATTAACTGGACTATCATGATGTGAGAAACGATGATATTTATAGTGACTTAGTAATGGAGAAACAGATGCTGCATTTTCAACTGTAACGCTATTATTCCTACTATTTAGGTCACATAATGATTGAGATATGCTCGTTTCTATTAGCCTTTCATTTAGACCTTCTGTCTTATTTTGGTCATTTGTACAAAGTGCATAGTAATCTGCATTATCTTGGTCTGCCATGTGGTTTAAAGAATGTCATGTAACATTCCAATACAAAATCTACGATCAAAATAATGCGTATAATAAATATATATTCAATGGGAATAAATAGAAGCAATATTTTCTTAATATATAATTACGTGCAATAGGGAAATAAAGCCTAATAATGACAAGAGAATGAAGAGAAAATGAATATTAACAAAATTTATAAATATCACTACTATATTTTGTGTTGTTAATAATGTATTAGCATTATTATTATGAACATCATCAAATAATATTAAAAAATTGCACAGATAATATTCAATATATGATATAATATACAAAAAATCGAACGTTACCTAAAACATTAATCCATCACATAGTTTAAAAAATTGTTGTCGGCTTGTACGGGCATACAGGACGTGGCCAAACGTAAGATAAACGAAATTTCTTAAAAAGTTCTAGAAAAACTACAAAACAATCGGCAAATTAAAATCACAAACAACACATACATCGTATCGACTCTTGAATAAAATTAGTACCACAAACATGAAGCAAACATCGATCAAAGTAACATGCAACTATCCAATTCACTACCTCTCCCGCTTCTTACGCATTGCACAATGCATCTTGCAAGCTCAGATAGTAACTTTACGTTTTTAAGACACTAGTTGAATTTGCATAATTCAATTTCGCATTCTGTATATTTATTTTCTATACATTAAGAAACATTATTAAATAATTAAATAATATGAAATTGTTAAAAATGTTATATTATACGTTATTCATTATACGTATTCTATATTTCTACTATTCATACAATTTAAAAATATGTATTACTAATACGTTCAAGATAAATGTAACACAATATTTTTGGAGTAGAAAATGTACTTCTTAATTATTCTTATTTTCACGAATTCTTAATTGTGCGTGATTTCAATTCTTTTTAACATATTTCCTATAATGTTAAATGGAATCGCATAATTGATCAAATTTGTAATGAGTATAAATAATATAGAATATGATTGAACAAATAAGTACATACTAGAAGAAATAACGAAAATTACTTTTTCTTGCCGGATCTCTGTTAAATTATATGCACATTGAAATTATTCTGTCAGGTTTCTCCCACTATCCTTCGAATTCCATGATCGTTGCTGCGCGGTGAGTTGTCCGAGTTATGGTCACTTCAAATATTTCGATAACATGGCATCGTCAGACGACGACTCGTTTTATGAAATTAAATCGCGTTTCGTCGATACTGTCCAAAAATCAGAATGGGTCCCTTTGTCCCTTACCTTAGTTGAATATCCACAAGGCGAGTATCTCAAAATTTTTCAGTATAATTTAATTGTTTTTTTCATTGTGTGATTATGTAAAAATTTCTTGTCTCATAAATATGCTTGGTGTTTTTTTGAAAAATGTTGTATCTTTAAATTAAATATTTTCAATCCAATTTTGTATATATTTTTCAGTCAGAATTTTTAGTTAGCGTGTTTTCCCATGTGCCGAATAATTTTTGTTTACTTCAACTTTTTGCATATGTTTAACAAGAACATGTATTTCAACAATACATTTCATTAAAAAATATGAGACTTGATGTTTAGGAATATTATGTACTCATACCTAAATTTAGTTTATCTAGATTATTAAAGATATATTTATTTAAATTTTCTTTAATTTGCAGGTGATTTATTTGGAAAGTTTTTAGCTCTGATAAGTTTAGTACCATTTGTTATTATAATTGGTTTTATAACATTGATTCTCTTTAGAAGAGATTTACACACAGTAAGTACAACTTTTATAGGTAATTCAATATGCTTATGGTTTTAATATCTAAGATTGATTCTTTTTTCAGATTACCTTTTTTAGCGGTGTTATATTTAATGAATGGATAAATTTTATTTTAAAACACACAATTTGTGAAGCAAGGCCAATGAGACGTGATGCTGTTTATGCTGAATATGGTATGCCATCGATGCATGCACAGTTCATGTGGTTTTTTGCTACATATACCATACTTTTTATATGTATCAGGTAATTTACTTCTATTTTCCAAAGGTAATTATATTATATCTTTTATCTATATTTATAAATATATGTATATATTTGTAGGTTACATCACAATAATAACAGCAGCATCTCAGAAAAGTTCTGGAGGATCACTATCATAGCTGCTTGTATAATTGTTGCTATTTTAGTCACATACAGTAGAGTTTATTTATTATATCACAGTAAATCTCAGGTTCTGTGGGGTACATTCATAGGTATCATATTAGGGACAGTATGGTTTACAATCACATATGTAGTCCTTACACCAATTTTTCCTGTAATTGTATCATGGTAAGTTATTGTTAAAAAAGCTTCCTAATCTCATGATAAATAGTATTACATGTGATATCATTTTCAGGCGGATATCAGAATATTTGTTATTACGCGATACAACATTAATTCCTAATATTCTTTGGTTTGAATATACAAATATTCGTACAGAGGCGCGAGCACGTTCAAGAAAACTAGTATCAATGAAATCGCAATGACGCCTAATGTCTGGCCAATGGGCTGACAACAAATAGGATATAAAAAATCATTCTAACATCAAGTGGATAAATTCAGTCAGATGAAATACAAAAATTAAAGATTCATTTAAATTAAGATTCAATGGCACTGAACTTTGCCACTGATAATATTTAAATACATAAGATATTAGTACAAATTTTGCATATGAATTTTCATGTTAATAGCTTTAGGTCGTGTACGTTTTTTCAATTAAGTTTTTATAACTTCGTATAAATTATTTATAACGCGTATTTGATAAACGTCATTGCCCTTTGTTAATTTTTATATTTACATTCTATTTCATAAAGACAAAATGTTCTCTCTAGCTTTGAAAGTTGATCAATTTTTAATTTAAACGAAAGATAAATCTAGGATGGGAATTTATACACTTTCTAATCATGTCGTAGTACGTCTATATTTTATTTCTAAAAAAAAGATGGAGGGGTAAAAGATTTTTTAATGCAGTATATTTAAGTAAATAATATTAGAGTCTGCATATTTATCTCGATATTAAAACAGTTGCAAGTGAAAAGATATAAGATAAGAATTAGTGAGCAGTTGAATTGAGAAGTTAGTATTTCAATTAAATGCGCGAAATCAAAAACAAAAATTAGTCAGTGATTATTTTAGCTGTTGATTTTTAAGTGAGATAGTTTCTAGAAGAATGATAAATTGTTTATTTATGCTTGTACACAATGTATATTAATTTTGTTTTATACTGAATATACGAAAAAAAACAAAATGTTAGAATTATATCTTCATTATGTTGCTCAACTAAATATCGTTGTTATAACGATTACATTGTAACAAATACAAAATTTGGTACCGAGAAATAAGCAAAAATTGCAATTCCTGGGTCGAAATTATTATGATGTAAATACGCAATAACATTTTATAACTAAAATTTGAATAAAAGTGATGCACAGTGCAAAAAATATCTGCGTTTTATATATCTCTTAAAGTGATAAACTAAATGAAATAGTATACAAATGGCCGTTAAAAAGTCAAAAATTTGTATTATAAAGTATGAAAGAAGAAATAAAATTATTATTACTATTAGTATTATTGTTATATATATCTTAAACTTTATAAATATGTGTTTGCAAAAGATTTTTCTGTTCTAATAACTCAATTTGTGGTTTTACTCAATACCTTGTTTTTAAAAATATTTTGTTTACATGTTTACATGCAACGACACGTAATATCTGGTAATATCGATCGATTTATACATACGTATAGTTAACCGGATGAGCGATTTCTGAACGATACGAGAGATCGAGATTTAAGTTTGACAAGATGTCCGAAAATTGAAGGATATTAAAGTGGAAATTTTTAATTACCTAGAGATCCAATATTGTTTATTAAATCTGCATTGTTGTCTTTATCGTCGAATCTTTAGATCCATTCGAAATTAATATTAGTGAGTTTAATTGAAATCATCGATGTTACATTGAAAAAGAAGGAAACAAAATAAGTCGCAACATTGTGTAGAATTAAATCATACTTAGCTTTATTTATTTTAAGTCATGATTGTATTGGTTTCATTTTATTGTAAATTGTTTAAATTTGAATTATTGTAAAAAATATAGAAATATTTGATCGTCAAGGTTACTTTTTCTTAGTGTGACAATTATGCATACACAAAATATTAATTACAATATTTATAATAGTTTGTTACGTTGTTTTTTAATTATTATATGAAAATAATTGTTCAAGTTTTTGAATAATGACATTCGTTTGAATCTTTGGTTTATGTTTAATAACAATCCTTTTAGGGCACAGCGAATTCTCTAAGTCCAAGCTGAAACCGTTTCATTTTCCTCAATGAAACCTGTTCTGTCATGTCTTACACTGAATTGGAACATGGTTATCAGGTAAACAGAGAAATAGTTTTTATTTCTGTGATATTATTTTTAACAATTTTATAACTTTTAATATTTTACTAAAATAGAAGAAACAATTATAAACTAGATTCTTTTAGAAGAAATTTAACGAGAAATTTGTTTTATTTAATTTTAAATTTATTTTGCTTTAGGAAAATAATGATCACATAATCTTATAAACTGATCTAAAACAATAAATATACTGTTAAAGTTTTATAGTATATCATAAATTCTTTATGTAATCAAATATCAGAAATATAAATTTTTGATGGATAATAATTAATCAATAGGGTCTACGGAGTGCCAGCCGACCAATTTTCTATGTAGGGGATTTAAATACTGTACAACCAACCCTTGTGGGTCCTGTAGCTTCTTCTATATATCGTTCATCAAAAAGAGTAAGTTATACTTTTTCCATGTGCAATATATCATATGTAAAGAACAAACAAATATCAAAATGATAATCCTAAATAGATTATAAGTTTTATCAGTAATATAAAATATAAATTTACATTTTGATTTTGATCTACATCATAATTCGCATAAGACTGATTATGTACTAAGATTTTTTAGAATTTATTTATTTCATTTAATTTAACTTGACAATAAAAGAATAAGATGTAGAGACAAGCAGAAACAGATATTGTGAATTAAGAACTATATTGTATGTTTGCATACCAACTCTATTTTACTTTAAATTAGTAAACAATATGTGAGAAAGGTTAGAAAACTGTTTTGTTTAAAAAAAGTATTGTTTTATACAATACTATACAGCACCTGCATGTATCATATATATATATATTTGGAAGACATATTTTATATGAAATTAGAATTTTTAATAATTTTGTTTATTTTCAACAGTACATGCAAACATATTTCACTAAGTGTAAATTAATGAATTCATTAATTACTTATTAGTGTTTCAATTACTTTTAAATAACTTGATGACTCACAAAGTTTTTGGTACTCTAATAGTCTAAAAATAAATTGGTAGAAGACTTAGTACTTGGCTGTATAGTTGCATATACAATGCATAAGCTGTATGTTTGTTATAATTAGTAAATTAATTTAAACAATTGATGTTCTACAATATAATGGTCTAAAGAGGAATATCCGATTTAATATTGTTTAGTGTATTAATAGTGTTTAATCATTATTAACTGAATTAAACATATTATATAGTGAAATATTCAATTATTGAACTAAGATTCAGTATTTAATGTTAATGTTAATATTAGTGCAAATTTTTTAAGGCTATCATTATATATAATTATGCTATTAGCTTATGGTACTTCGAAATTAAATTTGTAATGGAAAATGCAAATCCTTTGTCATCTACCACGATTCCTGATGTTTACATCTTCGATTGTGATAATGAAGCAGAACCATATTGGCAAATAATGGTAGAGTTTCTTCTAATTAATTTCTTAGTTATTATCTGTTATTCATAATATTTAATGTAACAGAATAAAAAATTGTCTTCATATTGTTTTTATTTGCTGAAGTCTATATATGATCATTGTAGCACTTACTCTTTATGCAGAAAAAATTTTCTTGTTTCAAGATAGATTTATGAAATATATCTCTTCCAGAGATATAGTTCTTTCTTATCTTTAAACAAAGAGTACTTTATTAGTTTGCTTCCATTTATTTTCAGTTCAGCACACAATTGCTCAGTAATGTTAACATTAAACAAATTGCAAACTAGTTCCAAGCTAGTAGACACTTCTTTTCATTATGTTCTAATCAACTCTTAATAAGTGGTCTGATAAAATATTTTATACTTAATTGTTAAAGTATTTTAAGTTAATTTCTTCCTTATCACAATTTTAAAAGATAAGATGCAATATAAATCTAACATTTAATTTAAAATATATCAAAAAATTAAATTATAGGGAATACAATTTGTATTTATCTGTAAAAAATAATATTATAATGAGTGTTAATCTCTAAAATGTGATGTAAGAAAAAAATTACTATTGTATGAAGTGCATATAATTAAAAGACTAGTGGCTCCTTGAAAAATGGTATTATCGTAATGATAAAAATCAATTCTATATCTACCTTTAAGATGGAAGATATACATCTGGATATGGAGTGCTACTGTGATGATTGTTTTGTATGTAATTATTAACACATGATTAAAATTTGCTGAGTCTCTTTATTAATAATACAATTTTGTTAGACAGTTTTAGAAATGTATCATTGTAATAATTAAGTTTATATAATTTTCAGTCATTGATAGTTGAACTTATTGAAAAATGTAGAATGACAAATCATTTGATATTCTAATAACTTTTACTACTTTTTTATTACCCAGACATACAATACATTTGTAAAAGTACTATATTTAGTATTCAATTTATATTTCCTTTTTTATGTAGGCAAGTAATGCATGTGTTTTTCTTACATTTTATTGTAATCATCTAGAAATGAATAATAGATCGAGATTGTTTGAAAACTATTCTAAACAAACTCCTGACAAAACTGGATTTTTATCCTGCTTAAAGATGTACTGGATGAGCAATATTTAACACAATTATTAATAAACATTTTATAAATTTTTGCATATAAGTAAAAATTTAATACATTTTTTAGTTTTATTTTGTATATTATTATTAGTTCCTTTTAAATTCATGTGATATTAGGTGAGTACAAAGATAGTAAGATTAAAACAAAAACAATTCAAAAAGAATAATAATCAAGTCAGAAAACAAATTTCAATTAATATAAACTTTCACTTAGGCCGAACTGTCGGACGGGTGCAGCAATGATGATGGATGCATGGGTGGAAGCGATTTGGAAGGAGAAGGGAAGCAAGTTTTGGTTGGAATCTGTGCGATGGCAAAAAAATCACAAAGTAAACCAATGAAGGAAATTTTAACAAGATTGGAAGAATTTGAGTACATTAAAATAGTAGTATTTCCTGAAGAAGTTATTTTGAAGGTAATGGCAGTAGAAAATATTTAATGTTTCAATTATAATGTATGAAAATATGTATTTACAGGAGTCTGTAGAAGATTGGCCAATTGTTGATTGTTTAATAAGCTTCCATAGTAAAGGCTTTCCCCTTGATAAAGCTATAAATTATGCTAATCTTAGAAATCCTTTTATCATCAATAATTTACCCATGCAATATGATATTCAGGTGTGTAATTCGTGATAAATATTGTCAAATATTCTGAGTGATGAAACATATTATTTTTTATATGACACCAATTTAATAGGATCGTAGGAGAGTCTATGCTATCTTAGAGAGTGAAGGTATTGAAATCCCGAGATATGCTGTCCTGGATAGAGACTCGTCTGATCCAAAACGTATGTGATGCTTATCATTTATATTGATCCAATTTTATATTGGAGATTTATGACAAAATCCATTTCAGATCATGAACTAGTAGAATCAGAAGATCATGTCGAAGTTAATGGTGTTACATTCAACAAACCGTTTGTGGAAAAACCAGTGTCTGCAGAGGATCATAATATTTACATTTATTATCCTACATCTGCAGGTGGAGGCAGTCAAAGATTATTTAGGAAGGTATATAGTAAATTCAACAAAAATAATTTTTTTTACTTGGCATAGTTAAATTTCAATTCATAATATTACAGATTGGAAGTCGTAGTAGTGTATATTCACCAGAATCTCGAGTTCGTAAAACAGGTTCTTACATATACGAAGATTTTATGCCAACCGACGGTACAGACGTTAAGGTTTATACCGTGGGTCCAGATTATGCTCACGCAGAGGCAAGAAAAAGCCCTGCATTGGATGGTAAAGTCGAAAGAGATTCAGAAGGGAAAGAAATTCGCTATCCGGTTATACTAAGTAATGCTGAAAAGCTAATTAGTAGAAAAGTGTGCTTAGCTTTTAAACAAACAGTTTGTGGTTTTGATTTACTTAGGTATATTGAAATTTTAAATATAGTGAGATTAAAAGAAGTAATAATGCATTCTTTATTATACTAATCATGTGTAATATTTTAGAGCGAACGGGCAGTCATTTGTGTGTGACGTAAATGGGTTTAGTTTTGTAAAGAATTCTAACAAATAT